AGTACTGGGGCAAAACGAGTACCTACGTGCGCCGGACATCATGAAGACAATTATAGAAAAGCTGCCGTCGACTATCCGCTTCAGATGGAACGATTACGTCAACAATCACCGAATGCAAGAAAAATCGAAGTCGCAACCGGAATTATTATTGTTCGCCGAGTTTATAGAAGTCGAGGCAGAAAACAACGCAAGATACGCCCCACCGGAATACATCGGGAGTGAAGAACACTCTACTTTGCAAAGAAGATTTCGAACACACAGCATAGAACGTCAAGAAAGAAAAAATATCGAAGATAGAAATAGAAGATATTACGTCGAAGACGTTCCGTGCCCTGTCTGCGCGGAACTAAAGCATACGCCGGTCGACTGCAAAACACTGAAGGCCGCTAACCGAGAACGCCGCTGGGAAATAGCGAAGCAGAGCAACCTGTGCTACAAGTGCCTACAGTACAGAAACAGAACACACAACTGCGCGCCGCGCGCGTGCAACAGAGATGGCTGCGAACGCACTCATCATCCGCTACTTCACTTCAAACCGAAAATCGATCAAGAAGAGGAGTCGCCACCGCATCGAATAGAAAAAATAGAAACCGAACGAGTAGCCAGCACACACAGCAGCCGCAAGCGCGACGCGTACCTCAAGATAGTTCCAGTACGCATCACCGGACCGCGAGGTCATTTCGATACCTACGCACTGCTCGACGACGGCTCCACCGTGACACTAATAGAAGAGCGAGCCGCCGAGAAGATAGGCGCCGACGGGCCAACCGAAGAGTTCCAGATCGAAACCATAGACGCCGAGCTGCCCGAAACACAATCGAGACGAGTCGCCTTCAACATCGAGGGACAGACGGAGGGATTCGACATAGAAGCGCGCACTATTCGGCGCATGAAGATTTCATCGCAAACGGTCGAGCCACATTGCCTACGTGACTGCAAGCACCTCCGAGATATAGAAAAGCATCTCGTATACGAAGACGCCCGTCCCACCATTTTGATCGGTCAAGACAATTGGGACCTCCTTATCGCCAGTGAAGTCCGAAGAGGAAACCGAAAACAGCTCGCCGCATCGAAAACCGCGCTCGGATGGGTCCTACACGGCACATACGCGCGCAACACCATCGAAAAAGTCAACATCGTAAATCGCCCGAAGATAGAAAATCGACCGAAGATCGAAAATCGCCCGAAAATAGAAAATCGACCGAAGAACGAAAACCGAAAAATCGATCATCGACCATTATCGAAGACAAATAGAAGAGTGGACGCGCACACAGAAATTCGCACCGAGCCCGCGCCGCCACGAAGTCGAAAAGCACCGCCACCGGGTCAGCATAGCGGCGGGAGCACGAAACACAATGCGACACACAGAAGAAATCGCCCAGCTCGCTATACCTACAGCGACGAGCCGCGAGTTCATCGACCTCGGTCGCCCGCGCCACCGGCGGGAGCCCCGAGGTGGCATCGCATCGATCGCAACAGAGAAAATCGCCGGAGATCGCCGTATAGACAAGAAACACCGAATCGTTATCGCCAACCAATTCGGGCGAAACGCGACTACACGAGTCATCAACCTTATCAAGATTGGAGGAGCACTACATCGACCTTCGGAGCGGCTGGTGGTGCATACAACATCATCGGTCGCCTCTCCCACGGTGATTGGATGCAGCGACGAGTCAACCGACGCTGCACGGCGGGAGTATGTACGAGACGACCGCCCTACGACCGAAGCGAGAAGAGATGACTTACGACAATACGAGAACTGTACGAGACGACCGCCCTACGACCGAAGCGAGAAGAGATGACTTACGACAATACGAGAACAATGTATAAAAATGTATCTATAATTTCACATGAATCGGTTGTATACGCATTAAAAATATCATTCCCTTGTTGTCTTATTAGAATGAGTCGGATATCGCAATAATAGATAGCTCTGCCCATAGTAAACCATTGTAAAATTGATAGTTCAGAGCGATATTCCGCCCCGTTCTCTCCAATAATCTTATAAGACTTTATCTAAACGATCGCCACGACGCCAAGCGGCGGCGCGGGGAAACTAGTCAGAATACTGATAGTTCCGACCTATAGGAGGGACGGAGACAATAGGTTGTCCTTGTCTCACGTCTTATAGGATTTTGCCTGAGTTGACAATTTTCGATAATAGTATGTTTTATGTTTTGATTGATTTATTTTATGTCTTATTAGATAGTAGGTAGTTATAGGAATAATATATCGAAGTTTTATATGAATCGTGTTAGTAGTTTAAGCGTAATTAAGGAAAATATTGGGAATAGTTTTTTATGAATAGTCAATAGGATATAGGTATAATTGTTATAATAATGATGTTTATTAATATTCTTGTAAGAAACTTGTTGTATTAGATAGGTAACACGTAGGGCTACGTAAATAAATAGGTATCACATCGATAAGTGTAAAAATGTACCGTATAAAAGACAAAACATGTTTGTATAGAACCGTTTTCTGAGACATGTTGCGCTCCCCACCCGGCGCGCCCGGAGCGCGCGGGTGGGGCAGCGAAGCCCCGTGGCAGGGCGAAGCCCTATGGAGGGGGAAAGTATAAATATTGCGGAGACCTATTTTTTGCGCGCCACACCTAAAATATCGTGTTTACGGACACATAACTATGTTAAAAATATGCCTAAATGTATGCCCGATGTATGTACAATTAGTTTTAAGCTCGCACTATTGTAAATTTTGAGAAAATGAAAAATAAAGTATAGCGTGGGTGAGGTAATGGATCGCTGGCCAGCTCAGTCCTAGCATATAAAATTCGAGTCGGAACATGCCCCGACATGCATTCAGCGACAGGCGCTCCTACCCTAAGGAACAGGAAGAAACAATCAAGCGGTTCACTCTGGACCTGAAGCCTCCTCTCACCGGCCATCCATTATCAGCGCCCACCGATTTCTTCAATACCGAACACCAGGGGTTTTATTCGCCGAAACTACAGTCCACTACAATCAAGACTCCTGCGTGTAACTTCCTCCACCCCCTCAGTACGAGTCGGTAACTGTCCGCTACTGCGACAGCCCGGCGTCCCGTACACTTTATATTGTTAGTAAAATATCGTACATCAGGATCTCCTATGTAATTAATTGTTAATTTTAGCTGTATTGGCTGCTGATGTCTGTTATAAATGCGTAATTAATTATTAATTTTCGTTGTATTGGCTGTTAATGGTGATTAAGGGCTTTTGCAAGTTTCTTAGCATGTTGTTTATCTTTAAAATTTAACCTACTGCTTTTTTTTTACATGTAAGAGGCTTTGATTATAGTTTCATAGCTATTTATTTCTTGTACAAATGGTTTTGTGTCAATTGATCTAGGGGGAGGGAGAATTTCCACTACAAGTATTTATAATAGGTACTTACCGGGAATTCTGTTCCGAAAGCTGTATTTATCTTTGTTCAGAAATAAACATTATTATTATTACTTATACATGATTTAATCCAATTCTAGTATGATTCGAAGATGTAAATTTTTGATGTACCTGCACATCGACAAAAATATATATTGGAATCAATTAAATTCTTAAAGTAAATAATTACCATCATTCATTTTCAATTTTTTTACTTTTGTGCTTGTATCAACTCAGTTAAAGTCACTTCTTCTATAACGTAACTATTCTTAAAGGCATTTATAAAATAATTTTTCTTAAGACCCGTACCTTGCAACAACCGCTATATACACAGTCAAGTCATAAGCATTTCTTTTTAGAATGCGGGCCACAAAAAGTTTATTGAATTCTAATTTCGAATTGTTCGTGAAAATAAAAATGTATACTTTTTAGAATTTTACTCATTTTTAAATATGGAGTGGACGCTTAAAGAAGACCGTGTTGCAGTTATTGCGTTGGCAACGTTGCGGTTACGCTCCAATTCAAATTCTTGATATACTGAAATTTTTGAATATAACCAAAAGATTCGTTTATCGTACCATCAAACGATACAATGAAGACTCTAGTGTAGATGGCAGGTCAAGAAGTGGTCGCCCTCGGTCTGTTAGGACTCCAGCAGTGATAAAAGCTGTGAAGGCGCGAATTCAAAGAAATCCCAAACGTAAGCAGAAACTGTTGGCCCTTCAGATGGGGTTAAGCAGAACCACGGTGAAAAGGGTGTTAAATGAAGACTTAGGGCTTCGGGCATATCGAAGAAAAACAGGACATCGTTTGAATGCTCGTCTAATGGACCTGAGATCTCTTCAAGATGCCGCGCTTTTTTGAAGCGGTACGCGGGAAAAAAATATCGGGAAATATTTTTTTCCCCGCGTGAATTCTTTCTCTTTTTCTGATGAAAAAATTTTTACCGTAGAAGAGAGCTACAACAAACAAAATGATAAGGTAGCACACAGTAGTGAAGAAGCGAGCAACCGTATTCCGCGTGTCCAACGAGGTCATTTTCGATCCTCGCTCATGGTATGGTTGGGAGTTTCTTATTGGGGCTAAACAGAGGTACATTTTTGTGAGAAAGGTGTAAAAACGAATGCAGTTGTGTATCAAAATACAGTCCTGACGAACCTTGTGGAACCTGTTTCTCATATCATGTTCAATAATAGGCACTGGGTATTCCAACAAGATTCGGCGCCAGCTCATAGAGCGAAGAGCACACAAGACTGGCTGGCGGCGCCAGAAATCGACTTCATCCGGCACAAAGACTGGCCCTCCTCCAGTCCAGATTTGAGTCCGTTAGATTACAAGATATGGCAACACTTGGAGAAAAATGGCGTGCTCAAAGCCTCATCCCAATTTTGAGTCACTCAAGACATCCTTGATTAAGGCAGCCGCCGATATTGACATGGACCTCGTTCGTGCTGCGATAGACGACTGGCCAAGCAGATTGAAGGCCTGTATTAAAAATCACAGAGGTCTTTTTGAATAAACTTTATTGTGATAAGAATCTATGTTTTGTTAAGTTCATTTTGGTATATGAATGGTTACATAATGAATAAACTTGTTTAAATTATTTTATATTAAACATGTGACAGAATTTATGACCTGACTAGGTATTATTATTTTTGCTATGCTCCTTCTTCCACGTCAAAAATTTACAGGTACTTCCTCGTCAATTGTTATATAGTCTTCCTCTTTAATTATTGTATCTCCTTCCTCTTCAGAGTGTACGTGTTCTTCCTCTTCGAATTGTATTTGTTGTTCCTCTTCCAACTTTATAGGTCTATCCACTTCAATGATTATTCGTTCTTCCTCTTCCACGTTTAAACGTTTTCTATACTTACATTGTATATGTCCTTGCTCTTCCAATTGTATATGTCCTCCCTCTTCCAATCGTATCTGTCCTTCCTCATCCAATTGCATATGATCTCCCTGTTCTAATTTTACATACACTTCCTCTTTAATTATTGTATCTTCTCCCTCTTTCAAGTTTATATGTCTTTCCTCTCCCATTGGTATGGATGGTACATGTTCACCCTTTTGCAATTTTACATGTTCTTTTTCATACAAGTTTTGTTTATTCTCTTTCACTTTTATTTCTTCCTCCTCTTCAAATTCCATATGTTTTCTCTTTCTAGATGTCATATCTTCATAATCTACCAATATGGTATCAGTTCCGATATACGTAGGTTTGTATATCGCCAAGTTTAGTTTGTGGTATGTCCTGTCTATCGATTTCTTGGTGTGGGCGTTCAACTGAAACATATTATAATATATAAATATATATAGAGATTTGACTATTTTTTTTTCTTCTTCTGTCAGATATCAAAAAGTATTGGATACGTATTATTTAATATTGATTTGAATTTTCGCATAAAGTCACGTCTTGTACAATTTTTACTTAGAAGTAACGTAACGAGACTTTACTACTAAAGGACATCAACGGAAAATGAAATCTGCCCCAGCATGCACAAATGAATATCCTTCATTGTATCCTTTCTATTTTCTTACTTGATTAGCAATTATTCAAACTAAACAGATTCTCTGTGGTGAAAAATGAAAAATTAAAAGTTCTGTAACTACTACACAATTTGCTGTCATGTCATCCTTAGGGTAAAAGTTTAGAGAATCATTCCAGAATCGACACCACTGTCTCATCTAAACGAGTTCTACGGTTTTAAACTGTTTTTTAAAATCACTTCTATTCCAACCATTTTAATCAGCAACAGCATAATATGCGACCATAAGTATTTATCAACATAAGAATACAACAAAGTATCTACCCTCCTTAGTTAATAATGCTAATAATACTTAACATTAATATGTATATTATATTGCTAAATAATTTCTGTAATTATGTAATGATAGTTTATACTCCCATCCCATATTATATCTGTTTATCGTCGTTGCGACTTCAAGACCTCCTATGTGTCATTTTTGTCGAAATACCTTTTTTATACGGGTTTATTTCAAATGTTGGCGCTACATCGAAAGCAAGGACTCTCATGTGAATAAGTCTTTTCAATTTATATTTATTTACTTTATTCAATATATCCTAAGTGCTTGCTCAAGTAAAGTTGGCATTTAAAATATCTTATGTGTAAAAGCGCTAGATAGGTAAAAATTGTTATTGGTCAAATTTTCAAACTAACAAAATTTACCAACTACGCGATTGAGTGTATTATTATTTTTATGTTTGTAGAACAGAAACCGAATTTTGTCGAATGCCCTAAATGATTTGGCACAACGAAGGCAATTGAATATCGAACAACTTTATTTAGAGAAAGGGCATCAATGATCTGCTCCTTACTCCCGGTATCTTTGGGTATGCAGATGACAGCACAGTCTCGGAGAGATACCTGCCTGATGTGAAGTCTGATGCAGACGTCCGATCTTTAAGGGTGGCGATGGTGGAGGGAGTGAATGCAACCCTGGAAGATGTTTCCCTCTGGGGTGAAGTCAACTTGGTTGTGTTCAATCCCTCTAAAACACAGGCCTGTCTCTTCTCGGCGACACGGAGTCCATTCCATCTGACTCCGACTTTCCGAAATGTCTCCATGCCGGTTACAGACCATCTCGAGCTCTTAGGTCTGGACGTCTCATTCAGCCTCAATTTCGGTCACATCGAGTCCATTGCTAAAACCGCTGCCAATAAACTTGGAATACTTTCTAAGGTCAGGCATTATTTTACATCTGAGCAGCTTCTTAACCTTTACCGAGCTCAAGTTCACTCCTGCTTGGAGTACTGTTGTCACCTTTGGAATGGATCTGCTTGGTATCAACTGGATGCACTGGACTCGGTGGAACACCGTGCGAATAGACTCATGAGGCAATGACGCTCTCGTTGAGGATAATCTCCAGAGCCTTGACCACCGAAGACGTGTAGCTTGCCTCTCAGTGTTTTATCGGTTACATTTCGGAGAGTGTGCGGAGGTACTACACAATTTGATTCCCCCTTCCCCTTTCCACCACCGGACGACCAGGCGCGGCGAGGGCTTTCACCCTTGAGTTGTCCAAGTTACTCCCATTCGCATGAAGCGATTTGCTTCCGCTTTCATTATGCGAACGGCTACGGAGTGGAACTCCTTACCGAGGTCTGTTTTCCTGGATCAATATAATTTGGACATCTTCAAGGCCAGAGTGAACAGGCATCTTCTAGGCAGGCGTGTACCATCCTAGGCCTCATCATCGCTTTCCATCAGGCGAGATTTTGGTCAAACGCCTTGCCTATTAGACATAAAAAAAAGGCACAGTGGACAGTGTTTACTCCACTATTGAGCAATACATAAAAACACTTTTATATACTATTGTCATTGCAATGATAAATATTAAAAACAAATAACTTGTTTAATTAAAAGTCATGTGTTTTGAATCTCAATCCCTTTTACATACTTATATTGTCTAATGTGAATCAAAACGCGCAACCAAAACCTCTTATGTGTCACACTGAATTGTTTTTTATTTTTTTACTACAATTTCCTTTTTTATTTAAAATGACAAGAGTAAAATAAAAATCATAAAACCCTCTAGTTATCACTTGTATTTTTTGTTATATTTAGTTTCCTTTTTTTTGTTTCAGTAGACAGTTTTTATTGAATATCTCGCAATGAAGAATTTTACACATGGGAGGTCTTAAAGTCGCAACGACGTTATTGTTTATTAGTGATCTCAAAACTTTTTTTTTGATGTGTGTATATGTCTCTCTATCTAGATATATGTACAATTTCTAAAATAACTTTGTCTATAAGTGATTACCTGTAAATATTGAGCTACAGATAAGTGTTCTCCATCTTTTAATTTATTAACAAGTTCCTTGAAACTTGCTATCTTCCTTTCTCTTCTTAGGAGCTTTTTGCGATTTGCTCTGATTTTATTTTCATTTGAAGTTATATACTTCAAAAATTTAATCCATGACTCATTGCTAACAAAGTCTGCCCTTGAGATACAGCGTATTGCCTGCCCATCTTTAAAACGAATTTTTCTCATTCGAGTTATCCTTTCATCACTATCCAAACATTTTCTGAAAAACACAGTTTAAACATTACTTTTTATTCAGATTTTCATCCTAAAATTTGTGATTTATGACAATTATCTTTTCAAGTTCTTCTTGTTTTCAATTGAAAATTACCTTTTCACGTTTGAAATAGCACTTCTTTCTGCTGTCTGAGATATGTCAGATACAGCAATAGCTTGTTCAATTATTGTACTACAATGTGTTTTCGAGAAATCAGGTTTCTCAATGCTAGTAAGCTGTATTTCTCCAATAGCAGAAGACTTGCTGAAATTGAAAGAATTATTTTATTATGTTTGAATAAGTTATACATTATTCAAATAATTTCAGATACATACTTTACACTTTCTCCATTAGCAGAACCACTAGATAAAACACTTTCTCCCTCCAATCTTTCAAGCGATGACCAAGAGGCATCATCAACAGAACCAATAAAAGTAACACTTCCTTCCTCAGGTACTTCGACTGTACTTGCTATGGTACTATCAAAGTCAAACATGTTGCATTTCCTATAAATAATAAATCATTCAAATAAGTTGACTACAATAATAATGATAATTTTCTCTTGCTTGACGACCTCCGTGGCCGAGTGGTTTGTACGCCGGGTTTCATGGCTGTCGCCGACTCGAGAGGTCCCGGGTTCGAATCCCGGTGGGGGCAGATGTTTGTGTGATGAATACGAGCATTTGTACTCCAGTCATGGATGTTTAATATGTATTTATATTAATATACTTATATATGTACAGTATATGTATTCTATCCGTTACCCTAGCGTCCCATAACACAAGCCTTATAGTGCTTACTTTGGGGCTAGGCTAATTGGTGTGAGTGTCGAAAAAAAAAAAAAAAAAAAAAAAAAAATGTGAAAAGATATTAACCTTTTCATACTATTCACTTCATCTGGGCAAGTACTTTTGCATTGTATGTAGAGAGTTTCAGGTTCTTCACATTCTTTCTTTCCATCTCTAACATTAACATTTGTGATGTCTGATAATAACATGGAAATATAGTTTGGCACTGCATTTGGTAACAGTCTTCTTTTGCTATTGTTGTACACAGTTTGTTCATGGAATGATGTTGTTGCAAAATGATCACTGCATACAGCCCAAGTTTTTTTCACTGATGACACTCCGATAGTATCCATCCATTTCTGCCTCAGGTCAGCTTTACCAGGAAATCTGAAAAATCGACAATACAGGCATTAATAGTACATCATGCAACAGGTACAGAAATACTGTAATTTCAAAACGAGAGTTTCGAAAATGCAGTCTTTATGTAATGTACAAGTTTCAGACGATATTTTATACCACGAGAGCCGTAAATTCACATTAAAGTTGTGATTTAGTAGTTAGAGTAGTATAAAATATGTTCCATTTCATCCGACCTCTTTGATGCTTCAATGGCAATTTATAAATCATGGAAATATCTATTTTAATAATTCTTAAGACCAACAATGTTCCTCGTAGATATAAATAATTATCTGATTAGCACAACGTTCGAAATAAATTAAATGAATATTTAGTTAAAACTTACCGATGGAAACTCCTAGTTCTGTCAAATGGAACAGGCTGCTTTTTGCAAATTGCACATGTTACCCTCATAGTATTTTTCAAATAAAAAAACTCAAGCAAACGGTAATTTCTAAAGACTCGTTTTGGTTACGAATAAAAGTCTATTAATAGTCATAATTTAAATAAATCTCAATATATCACATTTCGACGTATCAAACAAACCAAAAAAAGGAGGTTACACAGGGTATACATTTAATGTACTCTATTCTATGTACAATTTTCTACCTAGGGATATTCATTTAATATCGATATATCGAATTAATTCGATACGATACATTGATTGAATCGATGTTTTGTCATTTTTTTTATTCGATATATTTATAAAAATATCGTATCGAAAAAAGTAACGCTGACTCATACTGACAATAAAACCAAAGTAAAGGAAATTGGAAAGACTGACATTGAAATGTATCATGTACATACCAGAAGCGGGATATATTAAATTTATAAATCATAATGCCAGTAACATATCCCAAAAAATAAAAATTCAACAAAACTATATGCCTTCCACGAGCTTTAGGTTCATGACGGTATCTTTTATCTACCCATCTTCTGCATGACTTCTCCTTGTTTATTTTAATACTCGAATTTGGGGATCATCCTATTAGAAAGAGATAAAAGGCCTCCGTTCTCTATCTCTCACTCATTCCATTTTATTGGTAACAGTGGTGTTATGTAAGCATCACGACGAAAGAAAGCCGAGGAAAAAAGTTATTTTGCTCTGAACATTTATTGGTTATATTATTTTGTCATTTTTATTACGTATCTGTATTACATTTTTTCATTACAAAAATTGATTTTTTGCACCGAAATCATAACAAGTATACCAATATCACAGATAAATCCAAAATGTAGTAGAAGTGAAGCCATTTGATTTCATCGAGTGCGGTTGGCGTCTTATTTTCATTATTCTTAAATTCATTCATAGGGGATATTATGAAATAAAATTGTTGTGATTTTGTGTTATAACCATCTGCGCAACAGAAGAACCAGTGTAATCTTTAAAATATACGCTATTCCGGTCAAGTGGACGTGAGAACTTTATAGTAGTGTAGTGTAGTGTAACTGTAGTGTTGACTACTACTCGCGTCAATGAAGCTTTTTACCTGGAAACCCGGTGGAACAGCTTCGATTTTGATGATTTTTTTTTAATAATTATGTTTTTTTATATTATTTGAAATCAGAAACCTCTGGAGGGGGAAATAATTTTTTATATTGTTTAAAAAAATTTTATGACATTTTTGGAAAAAAATGTTTTTTTATAAAATATCAATTGAAAACTCACAAAAAAAAATATGTTTATGTTATTGTTTTCATATTGTTATCACAAATAACTTTAATTTACATGTTATTATATCAAAAACTTTTAAAAACAATTAATTATAAGATCTTTCATGTAATATAATGACATGACGCTGATATACATAAAAAAGTTAGGATACTTATATTTCATGAAATATAAGAAATTAATAGTTTCATTATTAACATATATAAAAAAAATATTAATAAAAAAAATATATATATATATATATATATATATATATATATATATATATATACTAGCTGACCCAGCGAACTTCGTAACGCCCTAAAAAAATAGGGGTTGTCCAGCGGACAAAATTGTGAATCTAAACCATTCTCAGATCCCCTTGAACACACACAAAAAATTTCATCAAAATCGGTCCAGTCGTTTAAGAGAAGTTCAGTGACATACACACTCACAGAAGAATTATATATATAAAGATATATTGGGTCAGACGCCGCGCTCTCAAGGATCCCGAGGTCGATTCACTCAAAGCAGCCTACAATTTTGCTTCGAAGGCCTGTAAGAAGGCTTACATCAGAGCGGATGCCTAGCGCGTTGCACGTATTGGCCAGGAACTTATAACACATCCTACGCTCCCGTAGCTACTGGCATTTGGCCAAGGCCGTGCAAAAAACCTTCTGCCAGCCCTCGCTGCCACCTCTGAGATGCCCAGACGGAACACTAGCTCATAAGCCGCAGGAGAAAGCCGATTTACTGGCAAAACTCTTTGCGGCTAACTCCCGCATCGATAATTGCAATAAACTACCACCATCATTACCTCACTGTGGCACAACGATGCCTGATATTAAAATCAGGCAGTGTGAGGTTCGTGCCGAATTGCAATCACTCGACGTCCGGAAAGCTAGTGGACCTGATGGTATCCCAGCAGTAGTACTGAAAAAATGTGCAACGGAGTTGTCTCCCGTGCTCACGCGCTTGTACCAATGCTCGTATTTTTTGGGGCGTGTGCCGGAGATTTGGAGAGATGCTTACGTGCAACCGGTGCCCAAAAAAGGAGATCGCTCAGACCCGGCAAACTACCGGCCAATAGCAGTCATCTCAGTTTTATGTAAAGTTCTAGAAAAGCTCCTTAATAACCATCTGACCCGTCATCTTATTTTATATTTATTTTATTTATTTATCATCTTCAGGGCACAACACTACCGCTACAGAGCAACATGTCCATGCTCGGTATGGAAGTTCACTCAGACCTGAATCCAAAGGACTACATCGAAACCGTGATCAAAACAGCTTCACGCAAACTCGGAGTCCTGAACAAGGTGCAGCGTTCTTTCACGCCCGATCAACTGTGCTTGTTGTACAAAACGCAAGTGCGGTCCTGCGTGGAATATTGCTTGCACCTCTGGGATAGCTCCGCCAAGTACTTGCTCGATGCCTTGGATAGGTTACAGCGGCGCGCGATCCGCATCATAGGCGATGATGAGGTGACTAAACACCTTGAGCCTTGACGTGGCGTCACTAAGCGCGTTCTATCGTCTGTACCACGACGAGTGTTCTGAGGAGTTATTCTCTCTTATCCCACCTTTCCCTTTCCTTCAGAGGACCACGCGCGCATGCCTACTTTGTCACCGTCTTACTGTGGCCACAATTCCAACGCGTACAAAGAAATTTGGTGACTCATTTCTTTGTCGCACTATACGTAAATGGAATGCTCTGTCCGCTCACGTGTTCCCTCCCTCTTACAACCTGGGATCCTTTAAAAGAGGCGTGAAGAAGCAACATGCAGGTCGGCAGGGTGAGGATGGCTGGTGTGGCAGGTAGAACTGCTGTATCAGCTATCTTCGCGTCTGGACTTCACCTTCACTTAACATCAGGTGGGGTGGAGTCATTTGTCGGACTTCATATATATATATATGAAGTAACTAAAATATAACGTAAGTGCTCAACGCATTCGTATTATTGACCAATACATCGTATTTTAATGGATTAAATATTAAATTATTATTAAAAGCCTCATTTTAACAACTATTTTTTATACTAACATTATCATAAGGCATTGTCCTAATACAACGCGATAACGCGATCATCGCGCGTTTAAACGATGCGACCGTCGCGTGATCGCGAACTGGGTGTCCTAATAGAACGCGAATACGGAACGGGTTAGCCCTGCACCTCTCCCCGCTTCCTATCGACGCGACGCGATCATCGCGCGAACTTCAGTTTCAGTTTAGGACACCTATTCATCATTAAATAGGTTTGATTGCGCGATAGATTTTTAAACATTTTAGTCGCGCGAATGCATCGCGCGATCGCCTATTAGGACACCTATTCTAGATCAATATGTTTGATCGTCGACTCGTACGATGATCGCATCGCTCATTCGCGTTGTATTAGGACAATGCCTAATAATATTTTTTTCAAAAAAAAGCGATAAAACTGAATTTTTTATAAAAATGTCATAAATATCGTTTAAACAATAAAAAAAAATTCCCCCATTCCAAAGGTTTCTGATTTTGAATAATATAAAAAAACCATATTTAAAAAAAAATGGGTGCGTGTACTTATGTAGGCGCGTGAGAAGTTATCCTTCTTTGGCATCGTTTAAAATTAGTTTTTAATTGCATGCAAATAATTAATTACAATAAATTAATAAAAGGACTCTGGAAAAGGACACAGTCAATAAAGTTCAGTTTTAATTTGAAAAAATAAATAATCAAAATATTCAATTAAAATCGCTACTGAATATAATTTATTAGAACATATGTGATTTGCACTTGTATGAAACTCAAACACGTAATCCGAATATACAAACTAGAAACATGTGGATAAATATTATAAATATGAATACCTACCTAGGTATAACTGTTACTTTATTACAAAAAATAAAGATGTGGTTTTTGGTTCTACTACACCAATGGTCAAGAATTGGCGCTGTAGTCTCCTGAATCGCGCTTTGGTTCCGTTGTTCCAGATTAATAAATACTTTTGATATTATAAATATGAATACCTATAACTGTTACTTTATTACAAAAAATAAAGATTTGGTTTTTGGTTCTACTACACCAATGGTCAAGAGATGGCGCTGTAGTCTCCTGAATCACGCTTTGGTTCCGTTGTTCCAGATTAATAAATACTTTTGATAGGCCTTCACAATGCAGTCGTTAGCACCCACTAAATAGAGATTCCATTTAGTGGGTAAACACAAAAGTAACGCATGAAGTTGGTCGCTAAAGCGACCGTTGCCACACCGCGCGTTTTGTATGAAAAAAAGGATCGTCCGTACGCTGTACGACAAACGCACCGCTTCGGCACCGCAGCAGGCTGTCAAGAAACGCATAAATTGAAAGAGCCCGTATACTTAGATACAAATCATAATCTTCTTTTTTTTACAGTCGACAACTCTAGGATTTGTATCCATCGTCATGAATAAATTATAAAAAAAAAATGGTCGCCGGTTTTTTTTTTTCCTTTATAGCCTGCACAGTCAGCCACATACAAATGTAAAGGTAGGAGAACAGGATAAAAAAAGGAACGGATTTTTTTAGAAACGGATCAGGTAAGTATTCACATATTTACAGTTTAATGTTAAGTTTAAGGATAAATTTTAAATACATGAATAAATATCATATTTCATAGAATATAGCAAAGTATTTATAAAAGTCGGGAAAGGAGTACGAAGGGATGTTAAGGAGTCAATAAAAGAGGAACAGTCATTTAAGGATCAGGCAAAAAAAGTATGGTTTAAATCGCCAATATCAGGGTCGCAATTACACTTACTGCTATTAACTATTCCTAATCTCGCCAGACGAGGAGTGCAAACATGACTCAGTCTCATCCAAGTTATGATAGTGGTCGTTTTCTTGCCAAATCTAAAATTATA